AGGGGGCGGGGCTTCGTCATGTGCCCCGCCCCCTGCACCTCACCCGGGGGAACTGCGTTCCCCCGCGTTCCCCCCCAAAATGACCTCTGGATGGGAGACCACCAAGGAAGCCCAGGGTCGTGACACAGAGGCAGGCAGCAGCAAACCACCTCTGAAACGTCTCTTACCTTGAAAACCCTAAGAGGTTGCCACGTTGGGGTGCAACTTGACAGCACTTTCCACCACGAAATGGAAATTAAATGGGAATGTCCTGTGTAACACACAGATTGTGCAGGTCTGGTCCTCAGAACAGTATGGCTGTGTTTCTTCAAGGTGGTCTTGAGCAATCTCAGTTCATAACACGTCTTAGGCAGGTGGGAGTCTGAGAGAGAGGGATATTCACCTGCCCGTGCTACGATGCCCCCTTTCTGATCTCAGTTCTCCTTTTCTTCTCTCCAAGATCAATGGGTCTCCAGTTTGGCCCGTCTGGATAACTCAGGGTCAATCAATGCCTGGAGCACTGACAACGGCAATTCCTGGATCCAGGTAGGCTTCATAGAGTAAGTGAGGCCCCAGTCACATGGGAGGTTTTGCCCCGCAAGGGGGATGGATTGGGGCACATCAAATGAGTGCAATCACACCGCAACATCTGGGAAGCGGAGCACACCCGTCCCCGATCCATCCTTTCCGGGGGGAAACGCGCATTAAAAAAAAAACTAGAAAAGAGTACTACCTACCTGAAGCTCCACAGCAAGGGTGGCCGTGGGATCGCCGGCGCGCCCGTCTTCCACAGCATTCGAGGCTCCCGGCCAAACTGCGCATGCGCGCACATGTGCAGCTGGCTGCCTCGCTCTCCGTCCCGCGGCTTCCCCCCCAGCATCTGATCGTGCCGGGGAGCAACTGTGCGGCGGCTCGGGGGATCTGTCTGATCCCACCGCCGCGCATCTATTTTGCTACGGCTCAGAAAAGCCGCGCTTTAGCCGTGCTCCCCCCCCCCCGTGTGACCGGGGCCTGAGTACAGCAGAAAAAGTACAGAAGAGAGCAATCAAGATGATTAAGGGGCTGGAGCACCTTTCTGTGAGGAAAGGCATGTTCCCTCTAAGCTGAGTTAGTCTGAGCTAGCTCACGGTTTTTTAGCCTCCAGCTCACAAATTTTTGTCTTAGCTCAGGAAGAATGGCTCCCGAGCAAACTAATTTATGCAGTAGCCAAATCGCTCGCTCACAACTTTAATGTCAGTAGCTCACGAAGTAGAATTTTTGCTCACAAGACTCCATAGCTTAGAGGGAACATTGCGAAGAGTCTGGGATTTTTCAGTCTAGAAAAAAAAAGAGCTAAGGGGCAGACATGATGGAGATGTATAAAATTATGCACAGGACAGCAAAAGTGGATAGAGGGAGATTTTTCTTCTTATCCCTTAATATTAGAACTCAGTTGGGAAATGGGTTTGGAACAGAGAAGCAAATACTTCGTTGAACAAGTAATTAGGGGTGCAAGAGAGGATTAGTTGGGGTGGCATGGAGCTGACAGTGTGAACTTGCACAAAGGGAAGGCATCATTAGCAGAACAGATCTACATGACTGAACCCTGTACATATCACTCTAGAACTCCACGGTTCTGAAATCGTGGGATAAAGTGTGCTAGATACATTACATTTGCATGAAGCTAAAAAAACCTGGATTCTCATGCCAAACTATCCCTTTCCATAGGGAGACTAGGGGCGATTCTGCATTGGCTTTTCCCTCTCTTGTTATACCGAACCCACGTTGGAACAGAAATTCCCCTCTGAATTGCATGCTGCTGTCACTTTCTTTGATCATCGGATTTTATGGTACATTCTGCATAGATTTATGGCCGTTCACGGGTGACTTTGCAGTCACTATGGCGTTGCCCCGGGGTATTTGAATGTGGTTTTGAGCTGCACCTTTTCTGTTCTGTTGTGAGTTTGGTAAAACAATGGAGGGAAAAGCCAAGGCAGAATCAGCCTAAGTTCTTTTCATCCTCAGAACAAGATGAGCCACTGGCCGTGTATCTTTTGCACATACTTCAGGAGACCAATTTATACATTACAAAGTCCACAGGTCTCCCTTTGGGATTTTGTACAGATGTATTCCTATGTATGTGCAAGCCCAGTTCAGATTGGGACAGTACCGTGTGAGGAGAGGGATTAAATCCCCCTTCCTTATACCATTACCCACTCACCCCCACCCCTGCAACTTGAAATGTCCTCAGGGAGTCACAACGCCCACTGGGGAAACTTACATGTGCTAATAGCTGCATGTAAGTTTCCCCAGCAGGGTAAGTTTCAGGTCAAGAAAATGACATAGGAGAAGAGGGAAAGCCCTTTCTCCTCATGTGCCATAGTTCCAATCCAAACCAGGCCCATGCACACTTGAACACTTAGGCCCATTCTGCATCTAGCATTTGCTCCATTGTTTTACCAAACCCACACTGGAACAGAAAGAGATGCAGCTGAAAACCACATTCAGATACCCCGGGGCCGACCACACTGACTGTAAAGTCACCCCTGAATGGCCATGAAACGGCCATAAATCTATGCGGACAGTACCATAGAACCGAGAGATCAAATGAAGGGAAACTGGCGCGCAGTCTGGACACTGCCATAAAATCCCACAATCGATCAAAGTGAAAGTGGCACGCAATGTAGAGGGGAATTTCTGTCCCAACGTGGGTTTGGTAAAACAGCGGAGCAAATCCTAGATGCAGAATGGGCCTTAATTCCCAGAACAGAACTCCAGGCGGCTGTCTGACCGCAAGCTGTTGTGGTTGGCCACATACCGGCCATATGGACTTTGTTATATGAAAACTGTCCCTCAGGCAGCAGAAATCAAGGGGATTCAAAGCCTGCTGTGGGTAAGCATTGCCTGCTGTCTCTCAATAGCCCAGTAAACGCAAACTCTCACATTCTGTTACATGGGAAGTCAGACCCACTCAGGACTGTCTGTCCTGACAGGCAGCCATTCTCCAGGTTCTCAGGCACGAAGACCAGTTACCTGAGATCTTTTGAGCACGGGAGTTAAAAAGGACCTTAAAAAGGATATTATAGCTTTGGAAAAAGTGCAGAAAAGGGCAACTCGAATGATAAAGGGGTTGGAACACTTTCCCTATGAGGAAAGGTTAAGGCGCTTAGGGCTCTTTAGCTTGGAGAAACGACGACTGAGGGGTGACATGATTGAGGTTTATAAGATTATGCATGGGAAAGAGCAGGTAGAGAAAGAGGTACTTTTCTCCCTTTCTCACAATACAAGAACCCGTGGGCACTCCATGAAATTGCTGAGCGGTCGGGTTAGAACAGATAAAAGGAAGTACTTCTTCACCCAAAGAGGGATTAACACTTGGAATTCACTGCCACAGGAAATAGTGGCAGCTACAAGCATGGACGGCTTCAAAAGGGAATTAGATAAGCATATGGAGCAGAGGTCCATCAGTGGCTATTAGCCACAAGGTATAGATAGGGACTCTGGGGCAAGTGATGCTCTGTCATCTTGGTGCTTGGGGGGGTCAACAGTGGGAGGGCTTCTAATGTCCTGGCCCCACTGGTGGACCTCCTGATGGCACTGGTATTTCTGGCCACTGTGTGATACAGAGTGTTGGACTGGATGGGCCTTTGGCCTGATCCAACATTGGCGGATCTTCTGAGCCCGGGACTTCCTGCATGCAAAGCCCATGAGCCCTCCATGAATGAAATCCTAGGCACAAGACTTCCCAGACTCTCGGGGAAAGGGCAGCCTCTTAAACCACCATACTACCATTTCCCACCCTTCACACTGTTGACTAGGTGGACCTCCTACGGCCGAAGATCCTCCATGGGATAAAGACGCAAGGAGCCCGGCAAAAGTTCTCTACCCTCTATGTCTCTCAGTTCGTCATCCTCCACAGCCTGGATGGACGGAAGTGGAAAGAGTATAAGGGCAATTCCACCAGCTCCCGAATGGTGAGTGGTCTTTCTTTGTACGTCTTTAAGCAGAGGAGGAAGGGCAAGGATGGTGGCGCCAAGGAAAGGAGATTTTGACTCTTGGGATCATTTTAAAGGTGCATATCGAGCCATTTCACGTTCAGTACTGTACATATATATTGGGTGGAGTTGAGTGGGGACAACAGGAGTGTATTGAGTCAGATTTTTGTTCTATCAAGGTCAGTATTGCTGCTCTGACTGACAGCGGCTCTCTAGGATCTCAGGAAGGAGTCTTTCAGATCACCTGCTACCTGTTTTTTTTTTTTACTGGGGATTGTACTGGAGACATGCAAATACTGAACGGGGTGCAGCATTTAGCATCCTGAGGATTGCAGTTTTGACTAAAACAAATATCTTCGCCAAGTTGCTAGTCCCTAAGGCTGAGGACACTGGATTCAGAGTGTGGAGGCAACTACTGAAATGCAAGAAGCTGTGGTAGGGTGAGGAAAGGGAAGAGCAGGACTTTTTGGGATCCCTGGTGGGGCTTCAGTGCCCTTCCTAGCTCTTTGCCTTTCATAAGACATACAAGTCTCATACGAAAGAGCATCGTTTTGGCTGGGCTCACCTGCTTCCACTGGCACTCAGGTTTTCATGGTAGAGAATGTTGTAATGTTATTATGATGTATTTATTTGCCTGCTGATCTTCACTCAAGGAGCTCAGGACAGCATGCACAGTTTTTCACAAAGTAAAAACAATGCAAAAACAACAAGAGTAGTTTCTACACCCCGCTTTTCTCTTCCCCAAGGCGTCTCAAAGCGGCTTACAATTGCCTTCCCTTCCTCTCCCTTCCCTCTCCTCTTCCTTGGGAGGAAGGTGGGGCTGCGAGGGTTCTGAGAGAACTGTGACTGGCCCCAGTTCACCCAGCAGGCTTCATGTGGAGGAGTGGGGAATCAAAACCGGTTCAACCCAGACTAGAGTCTGCAGTGATCAATCACTACCATCACACTGGATTTCAACAGAATAATAAAACACCCTTTACAAATTCTTAATATTAAAATGAAGATAAGAACCACACAGGCAGCGAGTGGGCAGATCTTGCAGCAGAGGCATGATGATTGCCCCGCAACCAACCTCTGACAATAGCCTGGCTGCTGCATTTTGGACCCACTGAAATTTCCAGACCTTTTTCAGGGTACATTCTGTACTAGAGCATGGATTCCAAGCAGGATCTGTCTACCCCTGATAATCTTTTCTCCTCCCAGTACACCAGAGTAAAGGGGCTGTTTCTCTCTCTGCCTGCAGATATTCTTTGGGAACGTGGACGCAGCAAGTGTGAAGCACAACGTCTTTGACCCTCCCATCATAGCCCGCTATATCCGCCTCCACCCGACGCATTACAGCATCCGTGTTACATTGCGCATGGAGCTCATCGGCTGTGACCTGAACAGTACGGCAACAAAGGCTTTTATCTTCCTTATTCACTGTAGCCAGCCACAAATAGAGCAGAGCTGGTTGGAACCTCCAAGCACTGCCAGTGTGAATGCCCAGATCTTGCTGTTACTGGAGTATCTGTCCCTTCTAGTCTTCTCTGCTATTGTGGGGATGGCTGTTTAGAGCAGTGTCTACCAGGAGTTAATCTGCTCCTATCAGTGGGTGCACACTGTATCCTGAATGCATGGGTAGAAACAGGCGGACATTCTACGGGGTGGTGACTGGGGACAGGGTTCTGAATACAGACTTGCTGCATTCTGAGACATTTATTTTCTGCGCAAAGAATACATGTTCAAATGAATTTCCACAACTCTTCAATGCTGCCTTCAAACCTAATCACAAACCATGGTTTGCCACTAGGACAGTGAGCTTTTCAAGTCCTTGGGTTTGTACCCTCTCATCACATTGGGTCCCCAGTTGGATTTCCTGGTTCAAAACACAGTTTGTCATGAATATCTGAACCACAAACTATTATTTCATCCCTGTAAGTGCTCTCTAGCAGCTAAAATGACCAAATTGAGGCTATTGCCATTCACATTATGAGAAGACAGGACTCACTGGAAAAGACAATAATACTAGGAAAAGCTGAAGGCAGAAGGAAAAGAGGAAAACCCAATATGAGATGGATTGACTCAATTAAGGTAGCCACAGCCCTTGGCTTGCAAGACCTGACCAAGGCTGTTAATGATAGGGCATTTTAGAGGTCATTAATTCATAGGGTTGCCATGTTGGAAGCAACTGGATGGCACTTAACACCCCCTCAAGACTAAAGTGTGGGTTAAACCATAATTTGTGGTTCTGATATAATAACAAACTATGGGTTGTTGCAGACCAGGTAGACTTAATTCCCAAGTCATATACAAAAGAGGAGACAGGATAGACAGGCAGTACAATGGCATGAAGATTTCCAGTGTTGACAAGCCATGGTTTCTTGTTATGACTGAATGTAGCCAGAATGTATTGTCTTTTACAAGCTGTATACTTGGAGGACAGACCATCCTTACTGGAAGAGATTTTTAGAACCTGGAGGGTATATCACTTGGTCTTCCAAATGATTTTTTGTCTAAGGGTTCATTCTTTCCTATGGGGAGCCCTTATAGGTGACTAGCTTTATAATCCACAAAGGAGTATGTCAGACATGAATTCGGATTTAAAAGAAACAGGGTTGATTTTCACAATTACATCAGCATATGACAAATTGTTAATAATGATAATTAGTGTACAAATCAGCTCAGACCTAGACGTTACACAATGACGATATACTTAAAAAGAATCCTCGCCTACAGTCTTAACAAAAATAGATAAGATCCTAAAGATAAAATAAGAAACACAAAAGGAAGAAAACAAAGAAGAGGAGAGATGGAGGACAGAGGCCCCAAAGGAAAGAGCTCTTTCAGTTGCTCTTTAAAGCAGTGGAAAGGAGGGAAAGGTTTGGGTGTCAAGTGGCAATGAGTTTCAGAGAAAACAGCAGCAGGAGAGAAAGGATAGAAGTTACCCAAAACTTGGTCAAAAGAAAAGTATTGGTAGACCAAAGATATGAAAATTATCTGTAAAGTTGTGGGTATGACCGGGGAGCAAGACCCAGTTTAGGAACAGAGATGTGGAAGAAAGAAAAACGGGGGATATCACAGAAGCGGGGTTTGGGGGTGGGAGGATCAACCACAGCTCTCCTTTGCAGAGCTGCAGACTGCCTTGACACACACACCCCTTCATACCCTTTCTGCTTCCTTTCCACCTGCTCCACTTAACCCCTGGGCAGGCGGGGAGGTAGTAGTCCACTGCCACCAGCCAGTGTTTTGAGGGTTTGCCTTGGTGTAAGAGAGGTCCACATTGTCCTTCCTTGAGTTCCCCTTTCAGTTGGGAGGGGGGTGATCAACTACTAAGCCTGAGGCATACAACGAACCCCAGAAAAGTTCTAAAAGGTTACATTCAAAATAGAAACAAGGTCAGAAGGGATAGAAAAAAGGGGGGCAAGCAACTTGTCTCATGAAAAGAAAGGCATCCCATATGGCAGGGATGGCAAACCTTTTAGAGACCGAGTGCCCAAACTGCGACCCAAAACCCACGTACGGTATTTATCGCAAAGTGCCAACACGGCAATTTAACCTGAATACTGAGGTTTTACTTTAGAAAAAACAACTCATACATTAACTGAAGATGATCCAAACAAAGTAAGGAAAGCAATCCCAAATGCTTTCATTTACTTAAAATTATTTGGCAGAGAATTCGACACTTTAATGATGGTCTGGGCTTGGCTGGGGTGATGGCATGCGTGCCCGCAGAGAGGGCTCTGAGTGCCACCTCTGGCACCCGTGCCATAGGTTCGCCACCACTGCCATATGGGATGTCAGTCCCTCCAAAACAGACAAGAATCAGTCTTGAGTCCCAAACTTCCCCAGAGCTCTAGGCAGGAAGTTCTTGTTTCTCCCCCCATAGGGAAAAAATCCCCCATTAAGCCAATACAAAAAAGGCCACTGGAGCAGAAAGCCCAACATTGGGAAATAATAATGCACACGTGGCCTCTCGGCCCACAGTTCACTGCCGAGGGTTACTTCTCTGTCTCTGTTCTTTGCCCTAGGTTGTTCCATGCCGTTGGGAATGGAAAGCAAAGCTGTCTCCAACCAGCAGATCTCAGCATCCTCCTACATTGATAATGTGGTCTCCTCTTGGCCTCCCTTTCTGGCCCGCCTGAACATGCAGGGGAGAAATAATGCATGGAGGCCCAAGGTAACGTCTGCGTGTGGGGGAGAGGAAGAGAGGTGTGTGGCTGGCTTTCTGTTCAGTGGAATCACTGTGGGGTTTCTCTGCACGAGTGGGTGCCTGTGTGCATCACAGAGGACAACAGTTTACAATCCTATGGGCAAGGCCAGCTCTAGGCTTTGGGGGATTCTTGCGCAAGATTTAGTCCTCACACTCTATGCATTGCCGTTGCTGTCTCCTTGTCCTCCTCCACCCGCTTTGTTCCCTCCTTTGTGGCAGCTCCTGTTGCTGTTTAGGGGTATCGCTGCTGTCCAGTTGCCCAGTGAGCAAGCAGTGACAGCCGCTAGAAGCAGCAGTGGCCACAGTCATACGGAGAGAGGGAGCAGGCAAGCAAGTGGCAGCCAAGCTGTTCCTTCTGCTAACTGCCACCACCCAGATCAAGCTCAAGGGGAATGCGTTCTACTGGCTTCCAGCCAAGTTGGCTCCATGCAACACCCATTGGTTGACTCCTGTGTCACTCCTGAAGCTACCTCCCTTTTTATCTTGGGAGCAATTTTTCAACACCTCTTAAAAACAAAGTGTTAAAAGAAGTGTTTGCTCAAATAAACATGCAAGGGTTTTGGCGGGAGAAGCAAAATGGACAGCCTGCCTGAAGCATGGATGAGTAGGAAGAGCCACAGCTTCTGTCTGCATGTACATTTGTACACAGCCTTCCAGCACGGAATATACACAGTGTGGCTATGGCTCTATTAGGGTTGCCAGCTCTGGGTTGGGAAACACCTGGAGATTTTTTTTGGGGGGGTGGAGCCTGAGGAGGGCGGGGTTTGGGGAGGGGAGGGACTCCAATGGGGTAAAATGCCACAGAGTCCACTTTCCAAAGTGGCCACTTTCTCCAGGTGAACTGACCTCTGTCACCTGGTCATCAGTTGTAATAGCAAGAAATCTCCAGCCACCGCCTGGAGGTTGGCAACCCCAGGTTCTAGGCTGCAAATGTCCTTAGCTCTGCACACATCAGGTTTAGCTAAAAATGGGAAAGCTCTAATTGGGCTCTTCATACATCCCAGGAGGAAAAATAATACACGCGTTTGCATATATATTCACCCATAGAAATCTATGCAAATTTCATTCTCTCAATTCACTGCATAGCAGTAGAAATAAACCTGAGAAGGCATCTAAATGACAAACATCAGAGTAGTTTGAAATGTCCTGGGAACAGGACAGGCTTTCCTCACGTTGAAGGCGTTTCTGTCCCTTCCGCAGGCAAACAGCCCAAACGAGTGGCTTCAGGTGAACTTCCAGAAGACCATGCGAGTGACCGGCATTGTGACCCAAGGCGCAAAGAGTGCCTTCACCCACATGTATGTGAGGGAATTTTCTCTCTCATGCAGCCAGGATGGCAAACAGTGGACTCCTGTTCTTCAAGACGGGAAGGACAAGGTAAGGGAAAAGAGCAAGAGAACTTAAAGCCATCGGGCAGGAAGGGTTTACGATACTTTTGAAAGACCACAGGACCCCCCTTTTACCCCGTAACTCTACTATGACCAGTGATGACTCCCTGGTCTACCTCTAAGCATTTGTGTCTGTGCAGGGAAGGCCATGTTGAAGGCGTTTCTGTCCCTTCCGCAGGCAAACAGCCCAAACGAGTGGCTTCAGGTGAACTTCCAGAAGACCATGCGAGTGACCGGCATTGTGACCCAAGGCGCAAAGAGTGCCTTCACCCACATGTATGTGAGGGAATTTTCTCTCTCATGCAGCCAGGATGGCAAGCAGTGGACTCCTGTTCTTCAAGACGGGAAGGACAAGGTAAGGGAAAAGAGCAAGAGAACTTAAAGCCATTGGACAGGAAAGGTTTACAATACTTTTGAAAGACCACAGGATCCCCCTTTTACCCCATAACTCTACTATGACCAGGGATGACTCCCTGGTCTACCTCTAAGCCTTTGTGTCTGTGCAGGGAAGGCCATGTTGTGTGGCTGATCCTGACAAGCCCCTCGTTTACCCGCAGCCACTTCTTGCAGAGCAGATGGGAGAACACGGAGGCTTGGCAGGGCCATTCTAAACAGAGTTATGCCCTTCCGGGTCCACAGTGGAAGGTGTAGTCCTGCTTGCCATGGCACAGTGAGACAGGCAGGAATGTGGTTAGCAGAGCTTGGAAACAGAATGCCAGGCTACAGTAACCTTCACCCTGTTCCAGCGCGGCTGCAATCCAAATCTTAGGCTCTTGCACCTTAGAAGTAAGTTTTGAGCCCTGAGCTCCCAGACAGCCAGCAAGCTCATGGTTGTGCAGGTATTCTGAACCTAGTAGGACTCCTCTAGTTCTAGTTTGACACTCTAATCACTATGCTGCATCCTGGTTTGGACAATCGTAACTCCCGCCCTGTGATCATAACCATTTAGAAAGCTGGCCATAGTCCACCTAGGTCTGCATGGTCCATTTGAATTGTTTGCAATGCTCCAAGGTCTCAGGAGGGGTTTTCTAAAGCCTAGCTACCTGACATCCTTTAAACTGGAGATGCTCGGAAGCGAGCCCATGAACTTCTGCATGCAAAATATACACTGTTCTTTCCCACTGGCTGTCTCTGTAGCTCCTTTGGATTCTGAGGTACATTCCAGCCCCTGCATACCTTTAACTCTCTTCCTGGCTGCTTTAGAGGCCTAAATAAAGAACAATCATGTCTCCATCCTTGCAGATTTTCCAGGGAAATCAAGATTACTCCAGCCCAGTAGTGAATCTCCTGGATCCCCCACTCTTTACCAGGTATTTGAGAATACACCCACTCAGCTGGAATAAGCGCATTGCACTGAGGACAGAATTTTTAGGCTGCAACACTCAACAAATGGTTTAGCATGGACGAACCTGCCTTTGACTTGAAGGTGAAGTTTCCCAGGACCTGAAATGCCCCCAAGTGGAGCCAAATGCAATGTCTGTAAACTGCTGACACTCAAATAAAACCTGTATATTTTTGATAACTGTTTCTGTGACTTCAGCAAATTAAAACGACCAAGAAATATGACAACACACTTGCTGGACATTGTTCTATCCTGGATTTTCCTAGGGTCACAGTTCTGCGCCGTCTAATGATGATACATCTTTACTGGTCTTCCTTCTCTCTGATTCTTAGGCTGCACTCTTGATCACATTTACTTGGAGTCCCTCTGAATTCAATGGAGGTTGCCTTTGAGAATACATGTGTCAAATCAGGGTGCATTTTCATCAATCCAAGGGGTCAGAAAACGAAGGGAAAACCTCTTGAAATATAATTGTGGATGATTGGTAGCTGGCGATATGGAGACCCAGTGGAATGTACAATGGCAGGGAAAAAACACCCTCTTCCCCTCGGCATCCTCATAATAGCTGACTCCATCATCTTAATCACTGTTTTCCAATAATCTTCCTCCAGCAAAAGATATGTCCATCCCCCTCAGGATATTACAGTTTCTGTGTCTTTCCCTGCTGGCAGATTTCAATCTGTGCGCTGCGAGTTGGAGGACAGTGCCGTGTAATTAAAGAGCCCTTGTCTCCTTGCAGTGTGTACTTTCTCCTGTTGTTTTTCTTCCCTTGACTGATTCCTGAGCTTCCTCAGCATTAAAGTCCCTGTGGGGAACAGAGTCAGCATTATTAGCTGATAATAATTAATTAGCAAGCGAGACCTCCTTCTGGCTCATGGTTATTTTCCGTAATCTCTTAGAGTTCCAGGTACAGCCTCAGAATTACTGGGGAGGCCAGAGGCATAAATCAAAGGGAAAGAAATGAAGGCTGAGCATGCTCTCCGGCGCATACCGGAACACCTGTCAAGTCAATTTCAAGGACTGAACAGTCCAGTTATTGGGGTCTTATTGCCGTTAATCATTACTCTGCATACATAAACTGCACATTCTGTATTTATCAGGTCGATTGGCTGTTGAGGGATTGAAGAGGGGGCAGGAAAGAGGGGAAATGGCTCAAAAACCTGAAAGCGTATAGAATTCAAAGTGGCTAGTACATATGCAGGTGGGATTCCCAAATCGTTCTCTCACAGGCACAGGGCATATAGCTTTGTTTCCTAACACAACATATCCATGTATCTCCGGGACCGCCTCTTCCGGTGTGTCCCCAGGAGAGCGCTCCACTCCACTGAGAGCAATCTACCGGTGATCCCGGGCTCCAGAGACATCCAGCTGCCCTTGACGAGAGCTTTTTCAGTGGGACTCTCTTCTGTCAAACACCACCAGGGCCCTGCGGGACTTAATGCAATTCTGCAGGGCCTGTAAGGCACAGACGTTCCACCTGGCTTTTGGTTGAGGGCAGCAACGGTTACTTTCCATCATAGCCGGCACCCTCCCCTTTTCTTCCATCTTTTTTCGTTTCTGCCTCCTCCTTATCTTGCCCGTGAGGTGACAGCACAGTCCGGAATGGGCATAAGACCAAATTAGTGACGCCATCGGGAGATTATTTTAAGAATGTACAGAATGACTTGTTTAATAATTTTTTATTATTGTTACGTTTGCGGGTTTTAACTCCTGCTGTACATCGCCCAGAGCCCTGTGTATTCAGGGATTGGGCGATCCATAAATTTAAAGTATAAATAAATAAACAGCATATTAGATAATAACACTTAGCATTTATGTAATGCGTTCAATATTCAGAGAATTCATGTATACGTACAGCAATCCTTACAACAGCTCTATAATGTAGGCCCCTTAAGTTGTAGATTGGGTGGACTAAAGTTCAAAGAAACTGGCTTGCCTAAGGCCCCTGTAGGTTTGTGGCTGACATGAAATTTGCATTGGTAGCCTTCTGGATCACAGTTTATTCTGTTAGCCACTAGGCTCTACCAGCTCCTAAAAATGCTAAGGAGAAGAGGGTTTTCCTCCTTAACTGAAGAGCTCTACCTCTAGTGGATTTGTGAAGCCTTAAGGTGGCTTACCTTAATTTGCAGAAGAGCTAACCTGTGGTTTGTTGATGATGGTTTGATTCTGCAGCAATATTGTTCAGGAAAGAGATCCTGTCAACCGAACAGGGGGGGAAATGTCCTGTTCCTTGAACAGAGGTTTACTGAGTGTAAATGGGCGGCTAAACTTTTTCATGACATGAAGTTAAATAACATCACCTGATAATTACTGGCAGATCAAGCTGATATTAAAGCTACAGGGATACGTTTAAGAGTTAGCCACCCTAATTAAGACTTCAAAAATCAATTATGTGAATTTATGGATTTCCGAGGAGGAAGTGGCAGATTCAGCCTCTGCAACCTATAAAACATCATAAGCGGTAATTTATTTCTGTAGGGCCTCCAATTATGTTTTCTGATTTGAAACTTCTGCCCTTCAAACTGGCTTGTAATGATTTGGTAGTGACAGAAAAGCACTCTGCACATGTTCAAGCACTCTTTTTGGGATGACAATGCTCTTCGTTCCCTGAGATCTGGCACCTAAAAGAGAGTCCCATTCCTTGGAAGCCTTGGCCCAAATTAAGTCTCGCAGACAGACACCAATGCTGAGCACACCATGGCCAACAGTAACAATGCAGAGTTACTCCGTTCTAAGCCCAGTGAAATGAGCGAGCTTTGACTCAGCATAGGGTTGCACTGCAAGCAGAGGTCATTTCGGGGGGATCGCGGGGGATCGCAGTTCCCCCGGGTGAGGTGCGGGGGAGCGGGGCACATGACGAAGCCCCGCCCCTTGCTTCCGGCCGCCCTGCTTCCGGCCCTCATTCAGCCAGGAGGAGGCAGGAGAACAGGGAGGGTAAGTTGCTTCCTCCCTGCCTCTCCCCACCCCTGCCTGCCTGGGGCCAGGGAGGGCCTTCCTTGCACTCCCACCGGCCTTGCAGGTCCACCGCCGGGCCCCTCATGGGGCTTGGCAGTGGAGCTGCAAGGCCGGCGGCGGCGGCCGGGACCGTTGGGGGTGGGGTGTGTGGCCTTATGACACACTTCCGGTGATGTCAGGGGGTGTGGCATATGCTAATGAGTTATGCTAATGAGTTCCCCTAGCTCTTTTTCTACGAAACAATTCCTGACCGCAAGGGTGCCATCTTTCCATTCACAGAGGCACCATGTAGCAATCAGGAACTGACAGCACAGCCTCCACCAGAATGGAGTTGGGAAATCGTCACTTCTTGTTTTCTGCCTCTTAAAAGCCTTTTTGCATCAAAAGTTGCTCGCCTGGCCCTAAACTGCAGCACGTTTCTGCAGCTACCAGACTAGAGCTGCCACGCACCCTTGTTCCATCACCATCTCGAGTCCCGTTCCATTGTTACAATCTGGCTGATCCAATTGTGCATAAGAGGAGACTGTGCTCTATGCGATCCAGGGCTTTTCTTCTGGGGGGACGCGCTGAAACGGAGATCTGGAATGTTTAAAAGTTCATGAGTTTTCAGTATACAGATTGAAAACTTCATTTCCCTCTTGAGAGTTCTGGCACCTCTTTTCCAAAAAAAAAAAAAAAAGCCCTTTGCAGGAGGTGGTGGTGGCGGCTACAACCATAGACAACTTCAAGAGGCTTCAAGAGGGAATTAGATAAGCATATGGAAAAGAGGTCCATCAGTGGCTATTAGCCACAAGGTATAGATAGGAACTCTCAGTCTGGGGCAAGTGATGCTCTGTATTCTTGGTGCTTGGAGTGGGGGTCAATAGTGGGAAGGCTCCTAGTGTCCTGGCCCCACTGCTGGACCTCCTGATGACACCTGGTATTTTTGGCCACTTTCTGACAGAGTGTTGGACTGGATGGGCCACTGGCCTGATCCAACATTGGCGTCTCTTATGTTCTTATGAGTGAACTCTATGGCGTCCCATCTCTGCTGAGTTCCCTCCCCTCCCCAAACTCAACCCTCCCCAGGCTCCACCCCCCCAAATCTCCAGGAATTTCCCAACCAGGAGTTGGCAATCCTAGCTGGGCTGCCAGTGATCTCTTCACCAAACATGTTTCTCCAAACTGGCTCGTTCCACACACTGACAGCTTGGGAGGCTCTTCAACAGTCCCGATCCCTTCGAAGCCAAATGAAACAAAACCCAAGACTGAATCCAATCAAGAAGAAGACAATCAGGTGCCAAATCCATCCACTCTGCATCATACTTCTTTCTAAAGGCTAAAAGCCCAGTTGGGTGTGACTGTTGACACACACAACAAAGACAACCCGCCAAGGAAACTGCTCTGTCGTGTTCAGAATGTGAAAGAAGGGATCTGGCTTGGATATTTGGGTCATCTCGTAATTTGGAATATCTGATATGGTGAAGGAACAGAGGCAAGGCAATGGGGGCTGTAAGCCCCAAGGAATAAAGAGCAATTTGAAACTCTGTCCTGGCTATGGCTTTTATAGATAATTGTATTTCAGATTTTTCTTGGCGTCCTCAGGGGGTTGCAAACCGCTTTACCCAAGAATGAAAGCTAAGATTCCCGCAAGCCAACTGATGACTTCCTTGAAAACATGCTTGTAAAAGCATATCATTCTTGCACGCTCTCCACTAACCTCAGCTGTGAGACGTTCCGAGGCGTTCAGCGTGTTTTCCCACAGATTTCCCTCCTATTGTCTGCTGAAGGATATGGACTCGCATGTTGCTTCAAGCACTTAACATCAGACGTCTTGTTAGGATCATCTCCCAACAATTAGTGCTCACTGAAAAAACTCTGCAGCCGCTAAGAACCACTAGCATTTTCTTTTTTTCTTTTTTTCTTTTTGCTGTAGGTCCTGGCTTCAGGAATAGACCCATCTACAGAGGACTGTCTAGGGTTACCAACTCTGGGTTGGGAAATTCCTGGAGATTTGTGGGGTGGAGCCTGGGGAGGGTGAAATTTGGGCAGGGGAGGGAGCTCTGCAGATACAAAGCTGACTCTCCGAACCTGCCGTTTTCTCCAGCGGAACTGATCTTTGTAGTATGGAGATCAGTTCTAATTCTGGGAGAACTCCAGGCTCCAGAGCAGAACCCCAAATTTGCAGCTACCTGATAGAATTTGAAAGATATGCTGTCTTAGATAGGTTATTATGTTTGCCGCAAGGGTTCTGATGGGACCCTAGACAATGCTGCTATCTTAAGAGCTTTTGTGCTCACCAAGAAAAATTATTGCGCCTTATGTCCTTTATATAAACACC